TTTCATAAGCAATTTATAAGCATCAGCCCAGGAATTAAACTGAAAAGTAGAAAGAAAATGAAAAGACACTTAAGCAAGATGCACCCTCAAACTTCCAGCTGACCGAAGGCAAACCCGGGGGCAAGGAGGTGGAACAATCTGAAAGCCGCCCACCTGGACTCCAAAGTGGTAACAGTGGAGTAGAGCAGATGAATGAGGTGCTAGACAAAGTCAAATTAGAATTAATTTCTCAGATAACTACAGAGATAATGACAATAATGAATGACACAGTGACTCTAGAGCAGATAAAGATTTAAAAAATAGAGGAGCTTAGGAAAATGATGCAAACGACGAATGTCTAACATAAGAAATGGAATCCATGAAACAGATCCAAACATATTCTACTCTAAGTACAAACAGCACAATAAGCCAATGTGAGGACAGAACAGCAGCTATAAGTGGACAGGATTGCAGTTAGTGATAGTGAAAAGAAAGATTTCTTAAAAACAGCAAGGCACACAAAAAAAATCAATCCAATAGCTGCTACATGATACAAAGTTTGATTGGAATCAGTAAAAAAGCAAGAGACAGCACAAACAACATAAAAAACCTCTTCACAAGCTGGGCGTGGTACTGTATGCCTATAATCCCAACACTTGGGAGGCTGAGGAAGGAGGATGGCTGTGAGTTCCAGACCAGCCTGGGCTGCACAGTGAGTTCCAGGTCAGTCTCAACTACATAGGGAGACCCTGTCTCAAAAACAAACGTCTTCACAGAAGTAATGGCAGAAAACTTCCCAAGCACGGAAAAGAATTTGACATATAGACAAGTGAGGCATAAGGAACTCCAATTAACCAATATTAAAAAATATATGTATGTACACACACACACACACACACACACACACTCCAAGGCATGTAACAGTCAAGATTCCAGAAATTCAACACAAGAATAGAATATTAAAAGCCATTAGAGACCTTGCAAGCACAAGGTTATGAGTTCGATCCCCGGTTTAAAAAAAAAAAAAAAAAAAAAAAAAGGCCATTAGAGAAAAGAAAACAAATCACATATAAAGTAAAGTCATTAAAATTACAGCAGTTTTCTCAACACAAACCTGCAAGTCAAGGAGAGCTTGGAGTGAAGTATTTTAAGTCCTAAAAGAAAACAACCTCTGGGCCAAGGCTTTAGCTCAATGGTTCCACCGCCTGCCTTGCAAGAGCAAGGACCTGAGTTCAATCCCTGGTACGGGGGGTGGGGGGGGGAGTTCCAACCCAGATTGATGTACCCCACAAAATTACCTTTCAAAATTGATGGAGAAATAAGATATTTCCATGACAAAGAACACCTGAAGAAATTCATGACCACCATACCAGCACTCTGTTTTTCAACAGATTCCTACATATATATGAGTTATCAAAGCTGAATCAAGAAGATATAAAAACTTGTATCAGTCAATGAAATTGAAGATGTAGTTAAAACCTAACAGGCCCTGATGGATTCACTGCTGAATTCTATAAGAAATTTAGAGAAGCCCTAATGCCACAACTTTCAAACTCTCTAATGAAATTGAAAGGGAAGCAATAATCCCAAATTAATTCCTGGAAGCAAGCATTACTATGATACCAAAACCAGAGAAGGATCCAACCAAAAAGAGAACTACAGGCCAATCTCCCTAATGAACACAGAAAAAATCCTCAGTAAGATACCAATCCTCTACAAGACACTGACAAAAATCCTCAATAAGATACTGGTGAATGAAATGCATCAAATCATCAAGATGAGTATACACCAGGACCAAGTAGGATCCATCCCAGGGATGCAGGGATGGCAACATACAAAAATCAATAAATGTAATACACCACATTAAAGACAAAAAACATGTGATCATCTCAATAGAGGCAGAAAAAGCATTTGACAAAGTCCAACACCCATTCATGATTTTAAAAAAACTACAGAAATTAGAATAAATGGGCTTTATCTCAATCTGATAAAAGCCATCTATGACAGGGCTGGTTCTGCTGTGGTTCCTCTGCCCGCCTGGCAAGCACAAGGACCTGAGTTTGATCCCTGGTACCAAAAAAAAAAAAAAAAAAAAAAGCCATCTATGACAAACCAACAGCCAACTTCATACTAAGTGGACAAAAACTGAAAGCTTTCACTCTAAAATCAGGAACAAGACAAGGATGTCCACGATCACCACTCTTATTCAATATAGTTCTGCAAACACTAGCTAGAGCAATGAAATAAAAGGAATAAGGGTAGGAAAGGAAGAAGTTTGGAACCAGAAGAGACCTAGAATAGCAAAAACAATTCTGGGCAACAAAGGCAAGGCAAAGGGAGGGCGCATCACAATCCCTGACTTTAAATTATACTACAAAGCTACTGTGATAAAAACATCATGGTACTGAAAAAAAAAAAACAAAAAACAAAAACAAAAACCAGACCCGAGAATCAATGGAACAGATTAGAACATGCAGAGAACAACTGCAGACATACTCAACCACTTTTATCTTTGACAAAGGAGCTAAAACACCTTCACGGGAAGGAAGATAGCCTCTTTAATAAATGGTGCTCGAAAAACTGGCTTTCCACTTGCCGAATATTGAAACTAGACGCGTACCTTGTACTGTTCACCAACCTAAAATCAAAATGAATTAAAGATCTAAATATTAAAACAGAAACACTGAATCTACTGGAAGACAAAATAGATAAAACTCTTGAAGACATTGCTGTTTTCATTCCTCATAGTATATGAAACAAGAGGCCTGAGGTGACCAACTGCTTTCTGGTTAATCAATTTTTCTAACATCTTTTCTATTGTAGTTATGATATAACTGTACAGTGTAACATGACCTTTAGAACAAAGATAAAACTTGACTGAACTCTTAACAACTGGGACACACATGGTATGTTACTCCTAATCAGAGTCCTAAAAATATTCCTGGTGTGAAAGGTAAGATATAAGAAATCTAGTAAGTAAATACACTTCATTAGTGAGAATCTGGGACCAAAATGGAAGAAAGCATTCACCTGAGGTAACCAGATGGGAAGCTTGTGTGACAGGTGTGCCATGTCCCTCTGCTGGGCTGCAGCTGCCCAGCGACACCTGAGGTTCATCTCCCCACTCCCCCTCTTGGTTTTTGTTTTGCTGAGACTACAGAAGTGACCCGCCAGAACACCCCCAGGTCTTCAACGACAGCTCCGCCTACCTACATCCGTCCCCACGCCCCCCTCTCCTGGTACTGCGGAGGCCCTGGCCGAGTGCCGAGAAGGCTGAGCCTCTACCTGTGCGATGCCTCTCTCTACCTCCCATCTGCATCCCACATTTCACCTCTCTACCACATCAGATCGCTTCAACCAACATAAAATATGCTGTAATTTCTCTCTCCTCAAGAAAAACATACAACAAGCAAAACTCTCTCATGACTCACTTTTCCATCTTCTACACTATTTCTTTGCTACTCTATACAACAAAAATTCTTCAGCAAAAGCAAGGTATGCTGGCACAGGCTTGTAACTCTAGCCAAAGGGAAGATGAGCCAACCTGGGAAACTTAGCAAAACCTGTCTCAAAAAACTTTAAGGAAAAAAAAAAACTTCAATAAAACAATCTATTACAGGTTAACCATCCCTAATCAAAAAGTACAAAATCAAGGTTAGGCATGGTGTGCACACTTGTAATCCCCGCACTCAGGAGGTTGAGGTGGGAGAAATGCCTCAAGTTCAAGGCCCCTCCCAAAATACCAAACTCTAAACTACTCCAAATCAAGAACACTTTTGTTTGTTTCTTTTGAGACAGGTCTAACTAACAGCGATCCTCTTCCCTCAACCTCTCAAGTGTAGCATGCGCCACCACACTGAGCCAAATCCAGAACTTTTAGACCAACATGCCACAAGTGGCGGACTATTCCACACACAAGTGATGGACTGCTGTCAGAACAAAGGCATACTAAAAGTTCTGTAACAAATTACCTGCATGTAAACACAGACGAAACATTAATAAATTTTGTGCTTAGGCTTGGGTTCCATCCCCAAGGTACCTAATGTAAGTGCAAATATTCCAAAATCTGAACACATCTAAAATCCAAAACACTCCTGGGTGCTACAAATTCTGGATAAGGGACACTCAACCTTGGTCAATGATCTGTCCTCTCCATTTGTCGATCTCTCCTAAACACACCTCAAACAGAACCATATTCCTAATGAAGGAAGTCTTCATGCCCCCTGACCCCCCACCCGCGCTATCAGTGACACGCCGCAGTGCTGCAATAGTCCTTCGGTGTTTTCTGGAATCCTACCCTCTTGGTCCTCCTGTCCCTGCCTACTGCAGTTTCCTCCTCTCCTCCACCTCTACCATGCAGTGCCACAGGGCTCGGTCTTTGGACCATCTTCTCTCCCACACCTTCCTCTCCCTTTTTGGTCTTCGTCCAAACAGGTTTAAAATACCACGGTGGGCTGACAACTCCTAAATTTGCGTCTGTGGTTCAGGCCTCCCCTGAAGGCCAGTTTGGACATCTAGCTGGGTGCTGCATTGCAAACCTGTTCTTTCCAGTTTTCCATCTTAGGAGACAGCAGCCCCTCGCTTCATCACTGTTGTGATGATCAACAGTGCAGCACTGTACTGAACCTACTCACATCCGTGTGACCACCACACCTCTACTGCCACCACCCTGAACCCCACAGGAACCACCCTGTGCTCCTCAGGGCCTCCCTGCTCTCACCCTCATCCTCTCATCCTCTCCACGCAGGCACCAAGAGAGAAAAATCCTTCACTCTTGGTAACTCCCATCAGACCGCATCCCTCCCACGCTCCCCAGCTCACTCCGATGTAAGCTCTGACATCTTTTTTTTGTTTTGTTTTGTTTATTTTATTTTGGGACCGGGGATTGAACTCGGGTCCTTGCGCTTGCAAGGCAGGCAGCAGAACCACTGAGCTAAATCCCCAGCCCCAAGCTCTGACATCTCAACGTCCAAATTCCTGCAGAGACCTGATGCGGCAAGGTTTGGCTTTCGGCCTCTTACCCAGGGCTGCCACGTGGCTGCGGTGGGCTCCTTCAGACGGCAGCTCTCAGGGGTGCACCGAGGGCCACAGGCATCTTCATGCTGCCACGAGGGTGCCCCTCTGCTCTCATTCTCTCCTGTGGAGAGTTCCCAGCACGCGACAGGCAACAAGGCCACTGTTCTGAGCGCTAAGGGAACATGTGCTTGCATACTCCTCTGCTTTCAAGTTTTCTAAGAATCCAGGAGAAGAAACTGTTATTTTCTTTGTTTCTGAGACAGGGTCTCACTACGTAGTTTAGGCTGGTCTTGAGATCACTATGTACCCCTGGATGGCCTGGAACTCATGGTCACCCTTCTGCCTCAGCCTCTTGAGTGCTGGGATTACAGGTGTGTGCCACCTTCCAGGACAGCCTGGGCTGCAGACAACATGACCAGCTCAAAAAAAAAAAAAAAAACTAAAGAGGGCCAGGAATTTAGCTCAGTGGTTCCACTGCCTGCCTCACAAATACAAGGTTCTGAGTTTGATCCCCAGTACCAAAAAAAAAAAAAGAAAGAAAAGAGGGCTGGGGACTTAGCTCAGTGGTATGGCCACTTGCCTCAAAAGCTCAAGGTCCTGAGTTCAATCCCCTGTACCAAAGAAAAGAAAAGAAAAGTAAAGAAAAGAAAAGAAAAAGTAAAAGTGAAACACCATCCATTTTCTAACTAAATATTTTGATCTGAATATATTATCTTATGTATTATGTATATTAACATGCAGTGATCGTATCTGATGCTTTTTTGAAAGAACTATTATTTCTAAAATTTTCCATATTTTAATTATAATATGATAAATGTCAAATATAATACATAAATAAAAGTCTTTAGGGGGTTATTTTCTAAGCATATACAAGGACCAGGTGCAATGATACACACTTGCAATCTCAGCATCTCAGAGACTGAGGCAAGAAGATGGCAAGTCCAAGTCCAGCCTGGGCAACTTAGCAAGACCTCTCTCAAAATAAAAAGGGCTGAGGATGGGCTTCATGCAAAGGATCTGGGATCAATCCCAAGTACTGAGAAGGTTAAAGAAAAAAAAAAAACAATGTAAAAGGGTACCTTAGGGCCGGGGATTTAGCTCAGCAGTTCGGTGGCCTGCCTTGCAAGCGCAAGGACCCGAGTTCAATCCCTGGTACCAAAAAAACAAACAAACAAAAAAAAAGGGTACCTTAGATCACAAATGCGAGAATCATTAACCTAGAGCCTCTTAAGCACAGGAGTACTAGTTTGAGGGGGAAGTAAAGGCTTAGCACTGAAAGGGCCTCCAGCTGTGTCCATGAGAAATGCTTCCAAATGCAAGTACAAACATTCAGACTAACAGGCAAAAATAAATAGGAACGCATCTTCTCATAAGACAAGAAATCTGCCTTGGCTGCTGGGCCTGGTCTGACCACTCAAAGATGCCACCGAGACCCCAGGACTTTCTCTTTCTGCCAGTACTGAGAACTGAACCCAAGGCCAGAGTATGTGTGCAAGCACTCCACCATGGAGCCATATTTTACTATACTTTGATTCAGGGTCTCCCCAAGTTTCCAGGCTGGCCACAAACTTGTGATCCTCCTGCCTCAGATTCCTGAGAAGCCGGGATGACAGACGTGCACCACTGCGCACTCCTGGCTTCCACACTGTAGTTCTGCACTCCCCTATTCCTCCTGATGACACCACGCAGCTTCAAACCAGCCGCTACAACTCCAGAAATCACTTCCACATTCAAGTCAGAAGAGGTAAGAAGGGCTGGGGATGTAGCTCAGCAGCACAGCACCTGCCTGGCATGCACGAGGTCCTGAGTTTGATCCCTGGCACCAAAAAAGAAGAGGTAGGAATAATGCCAGCCCCTCTGTTCTTTAGCAAACTTCCTCTTGGGGGTGAGGGGTTGGTCACACAACTAACCCTCACTGCAAACATAACTGGGAAGTATTTGGCAGAAAGGGGGTCAGGATGGGTGTGGGTGAGCCAAACAACAGTGTCTGTCACATACCAGTTCAATTACAATACAAGAAATCAGCATCCAACTTCCTTTGCCGGGCAGGACTTGACAAGCTGAACTGAAATGGTGCTCATTTCAGCGTAAGCTGACCATCAAGTCAGTGATGGCCGGCACTACTGGGTACATTCTTCCATGTTTTCTTCAGCTAAGCCAAAAACACAGATTTTGTTATGACTGTTTTGCTGATGATAACCATCAACCAAGAAATGATGCATCAAAGACAATCTATTACTGCTTTGCTGTGTATTCAAAGAGCAGTTTTATGGCTACTGCAAACTTCTTCAAAGGTAGTTAAGTCTGGGACCCAAGAGAGACACAACATGGGAAATACAGTATAACCAGGTAGGGGATGTAACTCAGTGGTGTGACACCTGCTTCGCAAGCTCAAGGTCTTGAGTTCAATCCCCAGTACCGAGGGGGAGGGGGGAGTATAATAGGGGGGGAGAAAGTATAAGCACTGTTGATTTCTTCTGACAAAAATAAGTACCCCAGATCCTTTCTGAAATCATTAAGAGATGGCTCTAAACTCAACTAGCCCTACTGACACATAATAATGTCTGGTGGTCTTTACCCTATCACTTGATATGGGTCACATGCTAAGTGAAGAATCACCCTCACCTCTTATCAATAAATAATGGAGGAGGAAAGTGGTAAGAAGAAAATGGTAATTCTTTAAAATGGTTGGTCAAATGTGATATTTTTAAAAATGTATACTCTCTTGAGAGATGGGAGAAAAGCAAAAATATTACTGTGGCCTTTTGTGATTTATTAACATCATTTATATGAGAAGAACATTTAAATATAACTTCTTACATTTGTTTAGTGGTATCTGACCATTTAAAATGTGCACAAATTCAGAGTAGGAAAAATGCTTACTGGATGTGCCAAACAGACCATAAAACTGAATATAAATCGATCCCAATGTTATAAAACCAAACACCAGACTGGTGGGGATAGTTAACCGTGGTGTCAACTTGAACAAGAAATGCCCGGCTGACTGGTCTAGCGTGGTTCTGGGGGTGTCCGGATGACGGGCTTACTGAGCAGGGAAGACCCATGTGGGTGTGGGTGGCACCAACCAACAGGCGTGCAGCCTGGATGCAACACAATGGGAGAGAAGTCTTGCCTGCTTCTCTAGAGGAGCTCCAGCTTTGCCGCGGCCTTCGGGTGTCTGCCTCGGCCCTACAGCTCACTCTTCATTCGGGCTTGCAGGGCAGGCTGTTTGGCTTGCTGATGCACTCAGCACTTCTGCTTGTACCGTTCGGATCTCCTGTGCACAGTGGCCCTGCTGCATTTTTTCCACACTGGACTCTGCAGGGGGCCACCGTAAGCTTAACTTGTAAATAAACAAACATATATATATCTTTTACTAAACCTGTTTCTCTAGTGAACACTGGTTAAGTAAAATAACACACTTCATATGCTCTGGAGGAAACAATCTGGGGCTTAGTGGCACGCAGCCTCTCCAGCTGCAGGCCACTGTGCAGAGCATACCACGCAGCACACACAGGACGCAGGGCACACCGGGAGGAAACGTGCTAGAACTCTGCTAACAATTCCCCTCTGGGCACAGCAGACTCCCCACCTGATAACAGTGTGCATGCAGCACTTTTATAATCAAAGAAAGACCACGAAAATGGCTTTCCTAAGTACTCTTTGGCACCCAAAATTTGCCAAAAATATCTATGTTTCTATCAAAGTTAGCTTCTTCCCACGGTACACCTGCACCAGAGCCAGGATTCGTGATCAGCACAGTGGACAGTGACGACAGCAACAGATGCTGGTGGCGGCGGCAGAGATTCCATGTTGCTAATTGTATGACAGCTTCCACCCCAAAGGTTTTTTTAAATGCTGGTGCTATGAGTCAGTCCTGGAAAAAATATATATTTGGTACCGGGGATCAAACTCGGGACCCTGCGTTTGCAAGGCAGGTGGTGGAACCTCTGAGCTAAATCCCCGGCCCTGGAAATATATTTTTATTCAATTTCTTTCCATTCTACTTGGCTTAACGCTTCTGTGGATCTGTCAGAAGGAGCGCGTGTCCTGCCTGTGCAGGTTATGTTACAGAGCAGCAGAGCAGACGCATCTGAACACCTTCTCCTTCTCAGCTATCTATTGCCGAGTGACTGACAACTCCCAAGCTTAAAACTTTAAAGATTCCATAGTTTCAGGCCTTCCCTCCTTCCCAGAAAAACTCACACAGTTCCATTCAATCTCTTCTTTCCCAGCCTCCATATCTTCAGATCACCACACTGAAATCTACGTCTGTTCAGCGAAGTGAGGCTTTTATAATCAGGATTTTTCTTCCTTTGTGCTCCCAGCGATGAGCCCAGGGCCTTGCACATGGCCTAGGGCCCAGGCAGGGCTCCACCATGGGCACCGACACCTCCGCTGCAGCATCTGCTCCTCTGGCCCGCAGAGTCTGGAGTGCGGAGGCAGCACACTTCGCTTGCCCTTTGCCGCCACCGAGTCCCTGGCATCTATCTCACCAGCACTTGTCGGTCCTCCATTCCTGATGCACCCTGGACAGAGCCCTTCTGCAACTAGCACTTGTTGACCGCTGCGAGTCCTTCAGCACCTCAGTAACAGGGCTAATGTTTCCTGGGCATCTGCTGTGTGCCTAAGGGGCGCTCTACGTCTCTTTCCCCGACAAGTCTCACAGCAACTTCCTAAGCTAGGTACCACTCATTCCCATCTTACAGGAAAAAAAAATGAGTCGGTCAACTTCCTGACCCCTCTGACCCCACGCGATGCTCTACAATCAGTCCCCAAGCCCGAAATTCCTCTAGTTTCCCCTCTCCAGCAGATGCCTGCAGAGGGAAAGGAAATACAACACCAGCACTCTGAAGTCCTCTTGAGCCCACTGATTATAAATGAGCAGCGTTCATTCTCCACAGTGCCTAGTGGTACAGGACACAGAGTAAGCTCACAACTGTTTATGACAAAATATTGTTCGGCCTCCAGATTTACCCTCTTATAAAACAATCATTTTATTCCTGACCACATCACTGCCAACTTCTTGCCTTTCAAACCCCCCAGTGCCGGGAATAGCGGGACACTCCTGTAATCACAGCAACTGGGAGGCTGAAGCAGGAGGGTTACCATGAATTGGAGGTAACCTGAGCAACATGGTGAATTCAAAGCCAGCCTGGACTATATAGTGAGACCCTATCTAAACCAAACAAAACAAGAGCAAATACAA